GAGAGTCGCCGATTATTTGTCACCGAAAGCGTATCGAAGCGCCAGTTTTTAATTGACACAGGCTCAGATCTCTCTTGTTACCCATACCAGTGGTTAGCCAATAAGCCAACGCTACCGAACTATACACTGGCTGCTGCTAATGGTAGTGAGATTCGCACATTTGGTTTTATACAACTGTCATCGAACCTAGGACTGCGTCGCGACTTTCATTGGCGATTCGTCGTCGCTGACGTCAGCACTGCCATCATTGGTTCAAACTTTTTGGCGCACTACTGTCTATTGCCAGATTGTGCCAATAAAAGACTTATTGACAGCGGCATATCATGCGCTGCTGTCATCGCAATATTAGGTCAGACCAGCATCAAAGTGGTGTCTGCTCCTTCGTCGGAATTCAGCGCAATTTTGGCGGAATTCCCGTCAATTACTAAGCCGCCTGGTCTTATTCGGGAGCCGAAGCATAGCACGGTTCACCACATCTTGACCACAGAGGGAGCCCCCGTTTCATGTCGCCCTAGACGCCTTGCGCCTCAAAAGCTTCAAGAAGCTAAGAAGGTTTTTGATGACATAGTGCGGTGTGGCACAGCTAGACCTTCAAAAAGTTCATGGTCCTCGCCCCTCCACATGGTTCCTAAACGAGACGGCACCTGGCGACCTTCTGGGGACTACCGCGCGTTAAATTCGCTCACAGTACCTGATCGATATCCGGTCCGCCATATTGGCGATGTTGGTCATAATATCTCTGGCTGTACTATATTTAGTACGATCGACCTCGTAAAGGCCTATCAACAAATACCTGTTGCGCCTGAGGACATTTGGAACTCCGCCATAATAACACCCTGCGGACGATTTGAATTTCATTACAGGACGTACGGCCTCCGCCAATGCTGGCCAAACGTTTCAAATATTCATTGACGAAGTTACTGAGGGACTTGATTTTGCTATGCGTACATCGACGATATTTTGGTGTATTCGAAAAGTGCCCGCCAGCATGCCGAGCACCTCCGTATTCTCTTCAAACGTCTTGAAGACCACGGAATTGTTATTAACCCGGCGAACATGCATATTTGGTGTTCCCGAGGTGACCTTTCTCGGTAACCGCATGTCCGCCTTAGGAACAAGACCACCAACAGAGCGTATTCAGGCATTGCAAGATTTCCCTCTTCCGAAGACCGTATAAGGACTCCGCCGTTTTATAGGGATGGTCAACTATTATCGCCGATTTTTGCGAAATGCTGCAGAAAAGCAAGCACCGCTCATCGACGCGATCGTTGCTTCCCAAGGCAAAGGTCCCACACCAGTCACTTGGACACCTGAGCTCGAAGAAAGTTTTAAGGCTTGTAAAGACAGCTTAACGTCTGCTGCTCTTATGGCCCATCCACTTCCAAACGCTGAGCTAGGTCTCTTCACAGACGCCTCTAATTCTCACGTCGGTGCTTGCCTTCAGCAGAAAGTAGGAGATGATTGGGAACCCTTAGGTTTCTTCAGCAAAAAGCTGAAACCCAAACAGTCCCAATGGCCAGCTTACTACAGAGAGTTACTCGCTGTTTATGAGAGCGTGCAGCATTATCGACATTTTCTCGCCGCGCAACACGTTAAAATTTACACGGATCACAAGCCGCTAGTGTACGCGTTTGCGCAACGTTGCGAGAGGCTGCCACCCGTACAGCTCAACCAACTTTCTTTCATCTCTCAATTCACGACGGACATAGTCCATGTGAAGGGGACAGACAACACGGTGGCGGACGCCATGTCCCGCATCGAAGCCATCAGCTTCGAAGCTGACCATTCTGCCCTCGCCACTTACCAAAAACTCGACGATGAATTGAAGAAGTATCGTAACGATACAAATTCTTCTCTTAAGCTAGAGGATATCATCGTTCCTGGCACTACATCATCTCTGGTCTGTGACACGTCCACCGGACGCCCGCGACCTTTTGTCCCGGAACCTATGCGGAAGAAAATCTTTGACCAGCTGCATAACCTTAGCCATCCTGGCGCCCGAGCCACAATACGACTGGTATCTGACCGTTTCGTTTGGCCTGGCATGTCCCAAGACTGCCGCAGATGGTGCAAAACGTGTGTGCCTTGCCAAAGAAGCAAAGTAACACGGCATACACAATCTCCGCCCGGACACTTTTCCAGCCCCACGTCTCGACTAAAACATGTCCATATTGACATCATCGGGCTATTGCCATTTTGTTCTGGTTTTCAATATTGCCTTACCGCTGTAGACCGTTATACTCGGTGGCCAGAAGCATGGCCTATGAGTGGTATAACTGCGGAAGAGGTGGCAAGTACCTTCGTGGCCGGCTGGATTTCTCGATTCGGTGTTCCTGCTGTCATAACAACTGACCAGGGACGACAGTTTGAATCGGACCTTTTCAAACGCCTTACCGACATGTGCGGTACTAAACGTATTCGAACTACTAGTTACCATCCTTGTGCCAATGGACTCGTTGAGCGCATGCACAGGCATTTAAAAGCCTCTCTTATGTGCCATGATGATTCCTGGTTAAGCGCATTGCCATTAGTCCTCTTGGGGATGCGTGCTGCGTTTAAGGAAGATATACAGGCAACAGTAGCAGAAATGCTCTATGGAGAAAACTTGTTACTCCCAGGAGAACTATTGGTATCTTCTGGAGTTTCTGGCTTTGAGGAGCTTCCGGATTTTGTCTGCAAATTAAGACAACATATGTCCAAATTGCGTCCCACCCCAGCTTCTCAACATACACAGTCGTCACCTTTCGTTTTTAAGGATCTCGCTACAGCGTTATACGTCATGCTTAGGAACGATACTGTTCGTCGCTCTTTGCAGCCTCCCTACTCCGGCCCTCATAAGGTTATTTCTAGAGCCAAGGACGGTAAGACGTTCTCGATAGAAGTCAATGGTAAGCAGATGACGGTTAGTGTCGACAGACTCAAGCCAGCTTTTGTCGAACATCCGATTCCCGCGGATTCATTTTCTCCGGCATCACCACCTTGTGTTTCTGTGCCTCGACCTGTGCAACTAGATACTACTCGGACACCCTCTTCTCCTACCGTACCATCCGTACCCCTTCCTGCTTCTTCTCCTTCACACACACCTCAGTATACTACTCGGTCTGGTCGTAGAGTCCATTTCTCCAAACCTTTTGACCTTTAAATTTCATATTTCCTACGGATTCTCCTTCTCCATAGGGGGGTGATGTGGCGTTTCCGGACGCACCAACAACGTGTGGTGTTTCCGAACGCACTCAACAACGCATTTCCGGAACGCGAGTTCGGAATAGAGACGACATGTTATAGACAGAGTTTAAGAGAGGAACAATGGACACGTAATTATACGAGCATTTTCTAACTTGTGGAATATTCCCCATATCATTGGTGGTACTATATTGCTCTGATGTTTCATATAGTGTATTGCTTGTGTAACCATAATTTGCCACATGGCTAATATAACTAATAAACAGTTTTATCCAGTGTGTGCTTTTATTGAGGACTTGCCCACGCTGGCGCTTACGGAAACAGAAGTGACCATACATATCCCTCAGTTTTATTGTTAACTAATCTCCGATCAAAGTTTCTTGAATATTAAATATTCGATAAATTTATTTTCATGCAGGAAATATTCAGGGTATACTGGGTATGTATGAATGTATTTATTTAGTGAGAAACTGAAAAAAATAAATTTATTCGTGATATTGGAACTAGCAAGACTTCAAACTTTCTTCAGACGGTTCACCTGATGGTAAGTGAATACCACCGCCCATGGACATCTGCTACACCCGAGGGTTACAGAGGCGTTGACAACCTTTTGAAAATTACGCTCCGACTACCTCAGTCACGCGAAGTCAGACGAGACGCGAAAGTATCATACTTCCAATTTACGCTGGTCTTCTGTGAGGTCTTGGTACTTAACCGGACGAGCCTGCCCAATTAATGCAACAGCCGAGGCTGCTGCCGGGCTCTACCACCGTAAATTCACTATTTAATTAAGCTTCATATAAGCCTCGAATTCGCACAACGTTCATTTTATGGTTTTAATGACTATTTACTAACTATAATTTAAGTTAGGAATATAACAATGTATTACAAAAAACTACTATACATGGGTATATACAGCGTGTCTTTACCATCGCGACCATAAATGAACACACATAAAGAGGATAAATTTTTGAAATTGAATTAAAGATTTACATTCTTTAAACATCAATATTTACCGAGTTATCAAATTTTCCAAAACAAAGAATTTTAGAACACCTTACGTATAAAACTTTAATGTAAAGTTCATTTAGTAAATAAAGGTCACAAAGCATAGTAATGGGTTGGATGAATTTAAAAGAGACAAAACATACTGTTAGAAGGAGAGGCTTTGAATGAGCCGCTGTGGCAACGAATGAAAAAGTCTCTGAATGTATAAATCAGTCAGTTGTAGTTGTATAGGATGTTACAAATTTTGTTTGTTTTTTACTTAATTAGTTTGTTTGAAAAATATTTTTTTTAGTTATGGATTTTTTTAGCGTTAATATTTTTGTTTGATTATTGGCAAGTAGCGTTAGACGTGTGTTCATTTATTGTCGCGATGGTAACGACGCGATGTATAATCTGAATGTCAGAAACGGCTCCAAGGATTTTCATGTTATTTAGTATGCAGGGGGCTTTGGGGGCGATAAATCGAGCTAGGTTTCATTTTTGGAAAACACCATTTCATAGAAGGTAAATTTCGCCACCGTCTACAAAAGTTACAGGTAATTTAAAAAATATTATGATTATAACAAAAACAACTTACGTTTACAACTTTTCACTTAATAAAATAAAAGTATGATAAAAAAAATATATTAGTATAGGTTAATAACAGTACACTTACATTCAAAACATTATTCAAAAGAAAAGAGGATTCTTGTCTTTATTGTGACTTTCGTAGGAATGAAATTGAAATTAGGAATTATTAACCTGATCCGTAGAGATGCCTCCCAATAAATAAATACGAGTACAGAAATGACATAAAAAGATGCACTCACTTGTGACATCGGATTTTCCCCAGCCGGAAATGTCGAGCATTACTGTGGGGTCCTTTTCCTTTGTGTACAAACACACTGGGTACACTACGTCTGACGTCTGAACCGTTTTCACCAGCCTGCGTGCATAGATATCAAACAAATTAAACTATTTTTGAAATATATTTTATATAAAATTGATTTGAGAATGTACAATTGCTGTAAAGGAATCACATTAGGTAATGCTTGACATTACTATAACATACATTAAATGTAAATAATTCGACGGATTAATTATTTATTTATTGATACTTTATGCACAAACAGTACAAGGACGTACTTAATGCCAACGGCAATCAACGGCGGTCACCTTTGGGGTGGTATTGAGAAGATTTGATAGGTGCACAGAAAGATGTAAAAAAAAGGAAACGCTGATATTTACAAACTAAGTTATAACTATGTGTATGCATATATCAATTATAATACAAATATAATAAATACTATCAAGTAATACATACAAATATATACATATGTAAATAAATACATACATACTGCATATAAATAAACTCTGAAAATTAACGATGGACTTACATCTGCCTACAAGTTTTTTAGGATGTGCTCACGAGCTTTTTTTAAATACAGACCGACTTTTAGCCAACCTGATTTCGAATGTAGCACATTGTGTCAGTGTGTAAACCAAGATTTTTCACATTACGACTGATAGGGATACGAGAACTGTTGAAAGTTATATGCGGGAGATTACTCGGGTCAACTTTACCTATGGTACGGGAGCTCCTAACTACGACTGTTACCGGGTAGAGAGTAATAATAAATTAGATACGTCATATGATTATTGGTTGGAATGTCTGGACGCGTAATATGGAAGATGCCGGTTCGAATCCTGGCAGCGGCGAAATCATTTTACGACTACTTTATCTACACTATTTCAAGTTTCATCTTAAGTGCAGAGACTAGTAGTAATTATCAAAAATTAAACAGATTCCTATTCCGACCGAAGGCGAAGTAAAGAAAGTAACTAGATCAAACAATTACGTAGTACGATTGTGTACGCGCTTGTAAGGAGTTATCGTCGTTAAAACTAACTGCGAGACGGCAGCTGCGTTCCCTGAATGTTTTACACACGGCCACTTGCGTCCATGCAACAATGCCAAAACTTACCAGGGTCTTTTCACTTCTATACTTTGACGTTTTCTATGGAGGCCGATTAGCTGTCTTTGGTAGTTTCCTATATCGCCAGAGGGCGTCAGCGACAATGTGCGACACGTTTGACGCAATTCTTTATTTCAGTATTATTTTCAAAACTTAAAAATAATTGATAAATTGAATTTACAGAACACATTGTATCGCAAATTTAATTATTTTTTGTTAATTTAAATTTTTTTAAACTTTTATTTCCATAGTACATAGTAAATTATACATAGTAAACTCAATTAAATATGCAGAAACTGAGAGGAACGGAACGTATGTTGACATAGCGTCAGCATCATGGCTAACTGTAGGGATGCCGAAAATCGAAAAAAAATATCGATATAAAAATATCAATATATTATAATTATATCATATATCGAAAAAAAAAATGTCGATATATATATCGGACAAATTTTAATTTTTAAAAAACAATGTACTTAGTTCAGTCTCTTTCAATAATGAGTAGTATAGTAATCTTTTAACCAAATTCACATTATTTAAATGAATGAGAAATTTTAATACAACATTAATTATTCATTAATTTTAAAAAATAAACAGCTAATTTAGTAAGATAAATTAGTTTCTTTAGCCCTGAATCGAATCAAAAAATAACTAATTGAAAAACATGTTATTAAGTTTTTAAAAAAATACAAAGAATTGTTTAAAACGAAATTAATAATGTGTCAAAAAGAAACCCGCAGAGACTTATCATAAAAGACAACCCTATATCAACAGAATTAAGTAGAGTCCTTTTCATGAAAGAAGTCCCGCGGTGATTTTTGGAACTAAATTTGACAGGTCGGCCATGTTGTCGTTCGTTGATGTTATCAAGTTCGTTTGTTGTGGTAGATTTTTGTGAGTTTTAAACTAGCTTAGTGCATTTTAAAGATTGTTTACAATGCCAAAAGTTGTAAGAAGTTCGGCTCGAGAAATGATATTGAAGGTGAAAGAATTCTGTGAAGCTGAACAAAAGAATCAAGGTGTTTTAATAAGATAGGAAGAGAGGAAGAGAGTCGCCGCCATAACAGGTATTTGCCATATAATAATTTTTTGCTGTATTGATGGGACTTTTATGATATAAATTCGTTTTGCGACAAAATTGAACAATTATATATAACGTGATGAAATTAGGTAACCGAAATTAAAACGTATATTACATAGTACATAAGCATTATAAACTTAAAGTGACTATTATTTTTAATTGTTCATTCTTTAATTGCAGGTGTGTCAGAGAAAACTATAACAAGAATTACAAAAGAAGGTATAACAGCGGCGAGTACTTCGAAAAAAATTGTCACCCCGGGGAAGAGTCGCCCGCATCCGAAAAAGTTCGACTTAGACGGGTTCGATTTGTGCGCTATCCGGCAAAAAATTCACACGTTGTGCATAAAGAATTACCAACTTTGGCTAAATTACGAGCAGCTCTTAGAGAAGACATCAATTTTCAGGGAAGCATTACAACATTGCACAGGATATTAAATAGGATTGGTTTAAAGTACAAGCGATGTCAATCCAGACGCAAACTACTTATGGAACGTCACGACATTACCGCATGGCGTGCAAGATATTTGGATAAAATACGAATAAATCACACTGTGGAAAAACGACCCGTTGTATACTTAGATGAGACCTATATACACAATACTTATCATACAAAAAGTTGTTGGCAGAGTGAGGAGGAGCCAGGAATGTTCGTCTCAGAGTCATCAGGGAGTCGCTGGATAATCGCTCATGCGGGAACAAAAGATGGATTCATAAATGGTGCATTATTAATGTTTAAATCCCAATCAAAGTCCTCAGATTAGCACGATGACATGAACTCTGCAAATTTCTTAAAATGGGTGACGGAAAAATTAATACCTAATCTACCTGAAAGGTCGCTTGTGGTAATGGACAACGCTCCTTACCATTGCACTCAATTAAACAAAGCCCCTTCAATGTCAAATATAAAAAGTAGTATGCAGGAATGGCTCCGGCAAAAGGGTATATATTTTGAAGACACCTGGAGAAAATCTGTGCTGTTTGAGCTAATCAAACAAAATAAAGGTCCACCGACATTTGCAGTGGAAGAATTATTAACAGCTCACGGACACGAAGTATTAAGGTTGCCGCCTTACCATTGCGACCTAAACCCGGTGGAGAAAATCTGGAGCCTTGTAAAAAGAAAGGTGGCGGATAAGAATGTGGAACAAGATCCAAAAGAAATTGTAAAATCAACTGTAGAGGCATTTGAGTCTATTACGGCGGAAGATTGGACAGCTCAGTGCACGCATGTCGAACATTTAGAGGAGGAGTATTTAAAAAATGACGGCCTTATGGATGAAGAGATGGACCGAATAATTATATCTACGGCTAGTGATACTGAAACAGAATCTGATTCAGTTTCCAGCCACTCTTCAGACAGTGATGTTCCTATGGCCACTGATCACAATTATTCAATAAAACTCTGAATAAAAAAATTGTAATGCTTTGCTTTACCCTATTTTCTCATCTTTTCCCTGTAAGTAGGTAGAACACCGCTTATAAAAGTAAATAAAAATATACTTTTTACATAACAGAAATATAGTAAATTATGTAAATGGACATTTTTATCAAAATTTATGTTTAAATAAACTTAAACTAGGAAATGTGACATCCACGTTTCCCAGTACTGATCATGACCAAAAATCGTCGGCTTTTATTGCTTTGTTTTTAGTTTCTCACCTAAACACTGAAACTATTTAATAATAACACCACACTTACATAGTCATAATAACGTTAGTTAATTGGACTTATTGCATGAGTCATCCCATGAGTGGTTGGTAGACATTTTGATAAAAATGCCCAAATATACATTTCACTTATCAGAAATATACATGTTTCGCTAATGTGAACTATTGTTAAAGTATTGGCTTGAGTAATGAAATTACAGCCTATCTAAAATGTATTTATTTCTTGATACAATTTAATAGTTTCGTCGAAGTCTGCAGGAAATAATATTATTTGATAAATTACATATGCTAAATGTAAAATAGGTAAATTTTTACTCATAAATGGCAACACCATGTCACGCGAGTACAGCGCTGCGTCTGGGGGACTTCTTTCATGAAAAGGACTTTAATAGTTGTTTGATTGACATAAAATAGCTGAACGACAATTTAATAAAGTTACTTATGTGGTGTTAATGATAATAATTTTTATGACATCAAAAAACTTTTAATGAAATCGATATTACATTATGTGACATTTAATTATTGAGAATTTGATTATAATTAAATTTTTGTTAACTTTATTTACATATTAAATTAAAGTAACTATAGTTGATGCCTTTAATATTTTGCATGCTATTTATAAATTATCATGTAGATTATTTTTTTATAAGGTAACAAACAATCTTTATTGATCTAATATTAACGAGATTAAATCTATCTAAAATTAACTTTTCGTTTAAATTCATCAAGTGGCAGACTTAATGTCGACTGTGGGATTTTATTATACATGCACACACTTTGCCCCATGAACGACCTGTTTACTTTTTGTAGATGAAACAATGGCGTAGTTAGTTTGGCCTTATTTCTAGTATTTAGTTTATGTCTGTCACTATTCTTTAGATAATTATTAATATTATGTTTAACATACAAAATATTACAATTAATATATTGAGACGCAACAGTGAGTATATTAATCTCTCTAAAGAGGTCTCTGAGTGTATTTCGGGCTCCAATGTTATAGATTGCTCGGGCAGCTCTTTTTTGAAGAATAAATATAGAATTTATATATCGGCCAAAATATCGATATATTTAAAAAATATATCGATATATCGATTTTTTTTCGGCATCCCTAGCTAACTGTCAATTCCTTCCGTTTATGTTACGTGACGCGATTGTGGTTGTGGTATTTTGCTTTTTTTCTCTTTAGTTTTAGAAAGTTAAGTTTAGATATTTTCTTATATTTTCTATTTTCAACAAATTAAATACGTGATAATTCAAAACGATTGAAAATCGTAACAACCGACTTCAGCATTTGGGACCGAGTTCATATATTGAAAAGCACTAAAATGATTTTGATAAAACCTTTATGGGACAACCTGTGGAGCAAAAAAACTTAGGTACCTAATATTATAGTACGTAAGTTGTTGATTACATAAATAAACTTGTAAAAATTCCCGTCTTTTTAAAAATGTACTTGTTTTATAATTTATATTAAATGTAAATAAATATTAAAGTATTTATATATGTTGTTTTATTTATGCCTATTTTAGTTTAAAACATTACAATAAAATATTAAATCATAAAAAGAAGTTTACACAGGCACGTATAGGTAGTGTAGTTATAGATATAGAAAAATGCAATTTCTTCCGATTTCACCAGATGGCGCTGATCGGCGATAAAGCTGATGACTCTATTAACCTTATAATAAGTTACTCTATGAAACTTACTGAGCGCACTGCTCGCAAACATAAAGCCCATAAAGTTTCAAGTCAATGAATTCGTGAGGAATTAGTGTAATTACTATTTTGTTGATCGTGTCTTTCACATGCCGTGACTGCACCACGGGTCTCTATCATCGTGATGGTGAACCGTGGTGCGGGTCCCATTTCACCACATTCATTATATCGCTAGTTGTGACAAGAAGTAGGGTCAGCGAGTTATTAAAAAAGGTAACATTCATTTGTGTATATCCTGCCATTAATTAGTACGACCCGAATGGCGTAATGGGTTGTGTACCTGATTTGGATTCGATCCCCACCCACTACTTGAAAAATATTGTGTGATGAACATAGTGTTTTTCTAGTGTCTTGGTGTTTATCTGTGTATAATATCTAGATATATATTTACAAAAGAAAAGTATGTTTAAGTATGGTCATCAGTTAGCTAGTACCCACGGTTCAAGCGTTGCTTAGTTTGGGTCTAGAGAACGCTGTGTTAAAATGTGTCATAAAATATTTAAATCACTGTAAATAGAACGGCAACATCATCTACTAAGCCAGGGTTGGTCAACTCGTTTTGTAAGGTACATTATGAAGATCTACTTTTTATCTAAAAATGTGTCGCAATCGACTTAATATCAAATGGTTTCTCAACGGTGTTAGCCACTACTAGGCCAAGTATTTGTATGCAAGCCAAGTCTTTGTAAGGTTGTATGTAAGCGAATAGAACGCACTTAATGATGGCCAAGTCGTGGTATTTCCTGGGTCGCGTGGAATTCGGATGCAGGTAGATCTTCTCCACGCCGTAGTCCGTGTCTGCATTCCAGTGGGAGCCCGATATGTTTACCACACCTAAGCGAACAATACTCGGCGGGATGCTGAAAAGAAAACACAAAAATTATTAGGTACATAGTTACAAACACTACTTGAAATGACGCTAAATGTGTAAAGAGAAGAATCCATCACTGTTCTTGTGAAAATTCCTGCTCTCTACTCCAGGAAAACCCTCAAAAAATGGTACCTCTTATGGTGGTAGGGCCGCGCAACAGTGTTCGCTGTTGCACAAATGTTGTTGTCCTTGTTAGTACCACGACCTCCCAGAAGACCGGCGTCAAGTATAAGTGTAGCACTTCTGCGTTTCGTCTGGTGAGTGAGGTAGCCGGGGCCCACGTTATTAAGAGGTGGCAACGCATTTGCAACCCTATAATGGGTGTTGCAAATGTCCATGGGCAGGCGTTAATCATCAGGTGAACTGCCAGATCATTTGCCACTACTAACATAAAAATATTGTGCGAAGGAGTTGTTAGTATGTTGACGAATGACTCAATCGATCATTATTAGGCAGGTACTATAGTTGCATACAATACTAATTTTCTATGGTAAAATTTTTTTTACACTTAAAAAGTTAAGTTAACATGGAAGTAAGTTCGCTTTAATAAAATATTTCATTTAGTTTATACGACCCACCCCGGCTTCGCACGGGTTCAATGTATTATACATAATTATAAACCTTTCTCTTGTATCACTCTATCTTGTAAAAAAAACCGCATCAAGATCCGTTACGCAGTTTTAAAGATCTAAGAATACATAGGGATAGACAGACAGCGGAACGACTTTGTTTCATATATGTAGTGATAATAAGACGTAAGTTCAAATTCTGGCAGCTGCTTAAATATTTTCCAACAACTTTGTCTCACATTTTAAGTTACAACAACATCTTAGGTGTGGAGAATAGCACAAAATTTAAAAATTAAAGGCAAAGGCCGGATCTCTAGTTTTCATATTTGTAAATATATTATTTGAGAAATGCTATCATTGCTAAAATTGCAATAATAACGTAGTAGGATAAGACTTCAGCATTTTTCGACGGTGAGGATTTTGACCGCTAAGTTTCGTGGTTAGGTCACATAATTCGGAAGGAAGTTTTAAGTTTTTGTTATTTTTTGCATTTCGCTGCCTACGCATTTGCAAAACCAGTGCGTCAGATGTCTTCCATGGGTGGCTGTAATCAGTTATCATCGGGTAAACCGCGGCTCGCGTGTAAAATAACGGGAAAGAAGCGTATAAATATAAATCCGTACAAATGTATCCATATGACCCTAGGGCAAAGTTTCGGATCTAATCAACCCCAATCGTTTAGGATCTGGATGTTTGTCTCCACGTGAAATTTATGTTTGTAAAATGTCTTTACACCGCAGGATAATTTTATCCTACTGTAAGGGCTATAACTTTTCTATACATGTATGTATATACGTTCATGCTTTTGTAACTCCCAAACCCGTGGGTTCTGGCTAGCCCACCGGTTCTGCGTCAGATGAAGCTTTAATGGTCTCGGGACTGAAAGCAAAAACATCAGTTAATACAAGATACAAGACAAGCTTTTGTAATATAAAGAGAATTTCAAAGTAAACACATTTTGGTTGAAACAGTTGTTCAAATCTTCACAATTGGATTTTTTTTAAATAAAGTTTTTGTAATGTACAAAATGATTTTACAATTCGTACAAAGGTTATTAATGGCGCATTGGAATTTAATTAGATGAAACATAAACTTACTGATCTATTGGATTTACGCAATGCGCTGCTGTCAAAACATGCCTTTCTGAAATCAGAGAACCGCCACATCGGAAGAAGTATTTGTTTGATTCCCGATAGCCTAGTGCAACCTGAAGCATAAGAAATTGAAACAGCATTATTAACTAGTTAGCAATTATCGTTAGAAACAATAACAACGCGGCCCGCGTTGGTCCCGGCCGGCTCTCTCACCTAATTAATGGGTCCAGTAAAATACCCTCATCGACTCGATCGATGAAGGGAACCTAAATACGAACATTATCTTTTATAACACCGTGCGTATTTGTTGCGAAATGGAAAATTTTTGCAACTCAGTTTGGAACCAAAGTCGATATTGCGCCGTCATCAAGTTTTACTAAGCAAAGAAAATCAGATTAAATCATAATTGGAAGACATGTCGATTTACGGGGCCTTTTGTCCTGGTAAAACGAGGGTATACCAATCCACCAGGACATTCTATTGAGGTAGCCACTCCGGAACTGGTTGAAGAAGTCGGAAGATTGACATTAGAAGCTGCTCAACTAAAGAAGAAATAGCTTACAGAAATGGTTGGAGTATCCAATAACTATGTGAAAACTCTGCACGAACATCTTGGCATGACTAATGTAAGCGTACGGTGGAGAATGCTCTCTAATGATATACTGAACTGAATTGTTACAGGGGTTGAAACTTGGGTTCATTATTATAAATCTGAGTTGAGAAATTCTTCAAAGATTTTATCGATTCTCGCTCCCAAAATTAAAAGGCGAGAAGGCATAGATATTAATAGTACATCGAATGATTAAATCTATAATTTATTTTTTTTTTGTTTTATTTTTCAATATAAAACGCTAATTTCATGAAGGCCTAACATTTGAAGTATTCAATAACCTTATTTGTGAGGAACATAACAAGGGTAAAGAAATAATTGATCGTCCTTACCGTATGGGGAAACTCTCCTGCCGAAGCAATTTCACCACCGATGATGTGGGTATCAACGGGAGGATTGTAACGATTTACAATATTCTTACATTCTGAAATAAACGAAGAATAAAATTATTTATTTATCGATGATACTATACTCGCCCTGAGTACCTGTTGATAATTATTCGTTAGTAAATACGTACCTTTATCAGCAACTCTAAGTCTTCTGACGCCAGCTGAAAACCAAGGCCAAAATCATTAAGAAAGAATGATGAAAAATGAAGTCTGATATTGATGAAATAATCAACTAGTGACACTCTTAATAATAAAACTCATAAGTTAGTTCCCATGGTAATTTTTTTAGTAGTAAAGTAATGTAATGCATAATTTTCTATGTATGTAAGAAATCTGAGAAAATAAATATTTTTATATCGTATTAGAAGCTTTATTAGCTCATTTTATTCGATAGATTTTTATACTAACATCATTTTCAACAACATCGTCAAATTAGACAATAATGTGTTAATAACTTAATGTTTACCAGGCCATCAATTACGGAATTTTAATTAGGTTTATACCCTTGCTGAAATCTAATAAACATTTAAATTCCAAACAGCCTCTACTTTATTTTATTCAAGCCACCTGGGATTGAAATCCGTGACCTGTCCAACGTTCCAGCAACTAAGTCTCCAGCCCACTACTGCTAGGGCTATTTTTACACAGTTAAGTATGATAATTTTTAATTTAAATCAAGCACTTTTCAACGATATTTTTAAATATAGATTATAAAAAATTTAAAAAGATTAACAGTTAACTTCACTAACCATTTTCTTTAACATTATCCTCATTATCTTCGATATCTGAAAAGAGGAAAAAATTATACAAAATGTGAAGCCTGCACGGTTAAAAATATAACCTATACACGACCATTCGTGTAATTCCTGCATCATCCGAAGCTGCTGTGTGTACAAAAAGGGGACTATATATTTTTTAAAAGATTTTATGACCTGAGGAGGATTATAACTTCTGTACCACAACACTGAAATCATAACCCTCTTTTTTGTTTCACCGCTAAATTGAACGCATTTGAATCATGTTATTGTAATCGTAATTCTTTGACCCCTAATAAAGCCGTGCGAGTTAAGTGTTTGTGTAATATTAGTTGTGAAAATTATAATTTAATAATTAGAGTAAAATTTTGGAGTTTTATTTTCTACTAACTATGCCCGCGGTTTCACCCGCTTGATGGTGAAAAATGATCCAAATGACTGCTACCTGCGACTACGTCTGCGTAAAATAGGCTGAAGGCGTAACATTCAGACAAAGACAGATATACATGAATATATGTACATAAATTATGGCTTATGTGTTATTCTGATGTATTATTGATGTAGTATTTCTGAATGGATTTTATTGAAACTTTACAATATATCTTATTTTGTAAAGTTTCAATAAAATCCATTCAGTAGTATGTCCGTGAAAGAGTAACAAACATCCACCCACCCATACAAACTATCGCCTTTATAATATTAGTAAGAAAAAAAATTTGCCTAATTTCTTGATTCAAATTACACCAATTTTCTTCTTTTATGTAAACTTTAGTATAAAAGCTTATTTATTTTAGATAAGCTTTAATTCCCCCTATGTTTCTATCATAAAAAATAATAATAATTTAACTAAGCATATGGTACTGTTTTCTTATAATAGAGTCCTTCTAGTCCGTGTATTACCGATATAGAATAGAAAATAACATCTATATTGCTGAAAATTTTAACATTCTGTCGCAGTTTCATGTAAGTAATGTAATTAATCAAAATGTCGCACCCCTCTGTGGACACAGTATTCTCAAAAAAGGAATATTTTATTTTATTTTATTTTATTTTATTAGGAAAACTTACAGCAAATTAGGTACTTATTTTAAAACAATATTGTAACATATATAAAGAGCCAGTTACAAGTTTCCACCTTTAGTACATAATTATGTTTTAAAAAAAAAAAAGTCGAGCAAGTGATGAAAGAAAAATAAGATGATAAAAATGTATAAATAAAAAAGGAAAAAAAAAACTTAATTACATAAATCAAATTCAATTCTTAGTAATTAGTTAACCATCTTTAGGAAAAATAATGCTCTGTTAAAGTTTTTTTAGCCACAGTTGGAGAAGTAAAGAATGGGTCGATATTTCGTGCATTAATAAATTTAGCAGTCCTAATCATAAAATAATTGCACCTGTAATTCGTATGAGCTCTGGGTATGTAAAGAAGTCTGCGGTTCCTCGTGTTTGCTATAGGTACATTTATAGTGATGTCTGATAATAGTTCGTGAGAGTTAATTGAACCGTTACAGAGTTTCAGGTAAAAACATACGTCACTAATATCTCGCCGAACGGACAAAGGAAGAAAATGGTACCTATGGCACCTATATAAAGCTATTAAGTCACTTATTAATATATGCTATGATATTACACAATTTTACATCAAAGTTTTTTTTTATAATGCCGCCTACAACGCAACGATCAAAAAGATAGATTTCGTTAGAACTGCGTCTCTTTCCCTTACTGTGATTATCCTCCAACTTTTTCGCCAATGGACAACAGACGATTTCCAAATTTTTGTCGAAACCACATCTCGATAGTCGATGAAAACCATTTGTGTGGATGGACCTGAAATGGGGAAATTATTTATGTCGAAACGTACTGTACTAATACCTTATGAATTTTAAACAACGACTTATTGTAGAATACAAACAATATACAGATAAAAAAACAGTTTAACAAATGTAACTTAAATCTATATAAGAAGATAACACGAAATAAATCGAAGAGAACACCGTTTTGCAAGTACATTTTTCTATTGTGTGGGAGGAATCCCCCATACTAAGTCCAACGGGTCATCCGAAGTAAAAAATGAAAAAAAAAAAGTCATTGGTTGTTTCTTCATGAACGGAGCTATCTAATGACCAATTGATATTAATAGTTTTCTTTTGCAATCCCAATTTAACACGCTTTAATTTTTTTTAACAACTCACACAAATGATTAACAAATTGCCTTTCTACATATAAAAATATAACTAGGTCATATACATTTTTATACAATATGTATACATTTAATGAAATTTATATTTAGATTTGTTCACAGAAAAACGATGGAAAAATGTTTTATCTTATTTTTATTATTTATCACGCGGGTACTGACCTTAAGGCAACCTCGCAATCGTTGATAAGTGAACACACTCCAGAGATATTTTTGTGCAAACAGCTGTCTCCGGCTGAAGAAATAAATATTTAATTCTAATTAAAATTTATTAATTTTACGAACAAAAGGTATCAACTCCTTCTGTTAACTGTTAACATAATTATGTAAATAATTATTTAATGAATAATAATCAAGGTGGTTTTAATGGTATTTATTTAGTGTATTTTCATGCTAGTTTGGTGAATTCAACCTGGACATAAAAAATGCCGCCCATTACTGAAATCTTGCTTTATTCAAATGTTTACCGTGTTAACATCGATAAGCGGCTACGCAGTCTCTGGTAAAGGCCGGTTATAACCCATTTTCCTGGATAATCGCATTCCACCCTATATTTTTTTAGTCGAAGTGCACCGAAGTGGCAAATATTCATACATAGACTTCATAAATATCATCCTATTTCCGATTTTTGTATACAGCTCTAGTGGCTCTGAACCTAACTTCGCAGGATTAAGTACTCATATTTTTCTTATTTATAAATGCTTGTTTAATGCTGTTCAATCACTCTAAAATATTTAAAAGACCACTTTCAGCATATTTCCCTCTCACATGAAAGGTTCCTTCGTTTTTATCTCAATCTCTTCCTAAAACATCCTGTTCATTTCTCGTCTTTCTTCAATAAATCTTTTACGGTCACCTATGCGCTGGTGAAACTTTACCCCTTTCAACAAGCTAACCTTCTCTTTTCCTTTAAAACACGTAAAAGTTCAACCGCATCCTTGTTGTTTTATCTTTCGAATGCCTTCATCCTGTAGTTAATACTTTTTGTATTATATTTATGTACAAAAAAAGACGGTAAAAATGACTTTTTACGGTAATCAGGAAAATTTGTGTTCTCTTGCATTCTTAGGGTGGATTGGACTAAATTTTAATAGTCTCTATTTGAAATTTAGCTTAGAAATCTTCGACCTTAGAAACAAGTTAGAGAACACTCGGTCCGGCCTTATCGTGCAGTGCCAGTGCAATTAGAACATCACCCCTCACGACTCCTATATTGAGCGTCAGACACCTCCATGCCTGCCGCCCGGGGTAGACTATCACAGGTAGGTCAGCCCCCTGCATCCTGCTCTCTAGCAACGGATATCCAGGATGGCAGAGACACTATAGAAGTATAGTGTCTCTGCAGCCTCCTTCTGGATGATAACGTCTTCACGATATGTGAGGGCAGAACTACGGACTCTCGCCGTCTACGATAGCAGGTAGCGAGAGGTCCTGCCCCACGATAGCGCACATCTCTCGGCGTTGCTACGTCCAGGCCGTGTACTCTTCCAGCGCATGTTCGGCTGTATCCTCGTCGCGTACATCATATGCCATTACATTCCGCTGTGGGCTTGCCTCTCGCCACGAGAAACAAATTACTCCTGAAACAACCCATAGGACCCAGGTGTGTCCTAGGTGTCTCCTGTCCAGCCACCGCCGGAGGACGTTTTTAGGCTATCACTGGGATACTCGAGCATGGTTTTTTTTAATGTGTAGCCGAGGCTGCTGCGTGGCCTTACCCCCGCTGTTTTCTTGCTGCACTGTTCCTGCGCTGTTACAATACTTCCGGAGGCTGGCTTGAATGGCCATGAGCGCTGGCCTCTCAGGATCTCGGCTTCTAGGTCCCAGGGAAGCATGCATGTATTGCAGTTACTAAGAAATTGGCGTCGGCGTCGAGGAACGTGGTTTCGATTCCCACACGGGACAACTATTAGTTTGACTCACAGATAGTTGTTTCGCATCTGGGTGTTTGTTTGCGTGAAATTTATTTATTTGTTTGTATAACGTCCTTAAAACACAGGATAATGTTATCCTAAAGTAAGCGCAATTGAATAACACGAAAATACGAATGCATGCACTTGCATGAGTTATTCAACGCAATTTGTATTGTGAAGAATAAAGGAAGATTAACTTATATCTTTAACAGATCGTGATTAATCAAGGTTAAAGATGTATGAAGTTCGTTTATTAATCTATACAAGTCTGCAAAAGCTCAGCGTATGTGCTTATGAGTGTATCGTATGGTGTTTTTAAATAAAACTATGCATACAGACAAAAGTTAATAAAATTCAATTGCTTTAATTTAATACTTAAAAACTACTTAGAGTGATAAGAATCCGCGCTTTTATTGAATGAAGATCCAAAAATCAGATAAATCCCGTAAAAGCATCCGAGGTTAAATATATCATTCAGAATAATGAACTCGGAATATATAGTCCTATACCCAATACTTTAGAAATAGAACATATTAATTGTTACTATGTTACTAATAATACACTGTACTGACCTTGTCCAGCCACAACTTTAATAGTTATGTAAAAACAAATGAACGTTTTAACGAACATGTTCACTTCTTACTCGTCATTAAAGCATGAGTAAAATGTTTTTTGCTATGTCACTGCGTAGCATTTTATTTATTATTTGCGTTTAGAATAAGTAAATGCACAGAAAACGAGTCTCGTCTGCATAACGACAGAATAAAACTGTTTCGAGACGAAGCTTGATTCACACTTATCTCCTATGGCATATGGCTTCGCTCTTTAATATCGGAAACAGGAAAACCCTCGCGTTTAACATTTATTCGTAGCATACATGTAAGTACTCGGTTAGCGGTTTTCCCATTAAAGCAAATTATCAAATTCTATTACGTCAAACTTTTCGAAATTCCACATCTTAAGGGCACAACGAGTCACTAGGAGCATATGTTCACCTTGGTTGTCTCTTAGATTAGGCTCAAATTCAGATATCTTTATTCGGAACAGAAGCTTTACACTTATTGATTGTCAAAATACCGGTTCGGAAAAAACCACTGACCTAAAGAGAACCGGCGAAACGAACTCTGCGGGACAATTTTTTTTATCATAATGTGAATAAAAAAACATATTTATAGCTTATTTTAACCGCCTTTAAAAGGAGGAGGTTATCAATTCAGATGTTTGATTTTTTATGTATGTTCGGGCATAACTATAGACGTATTTGCAAAAATCTTTTTTGTTCGAAAGCGATGGAAAGCGAGTTTCAGAGATAGACAATAGAACTTTCCAAGAAATTACAGCAAATTAACCGCGATTGATGCTACCGAATTCTTTTGCGCAATCACACATCATAACACAACGTCTCGATGAATACAGCGTGTCGTTACAACCGCGACAATAAATGAACACACATATAGAAGATACCTTTTTAAAATTGTATTAAGCATTTACATTCTTTAAATATCAATATTTACCGAGTTATTAAATTTTACAAAACAAACATTTTTAGAACATCCTTACGTATAAAACTGTAACGTAAAGTTCATTTGTAAAGGTCACAAAGCATACGAATGGGTTGAATGAATGTAAAAGAGATAAAACATACTGTTAGAAGGAGAAACTTGTAATGCGACCTTGTGGCAACGAATGAAAACATCTCTGAAACTCTGAATGTATGAATCAGTCAGTCAGTTGTAGTTGTATAGGATGCTAAAAATTTTGTTTCTTTTTTATTTAATTAGTTTGTTTGAAAAATATATTTTTTTAAAGTATGTTTAAGTTTATGATTATTGGCAAGTAGCGTTAGACGTGTGTTCATTTATTGTCGCGGTTGTAACGACACGCTGTATATCCATTATAGCTGTGAACGCGACAACAGTGAATTTGCACAATTAATATGCTGCTTTAGCTTTCTCAGTTATGATGTGTGCATTGTAATAATCCAAGAATGCAACTCCATCGCAGAAATCTCCTATCAACAGTATTCCTTGACGTTCGAAGCAGCACTTCAAGTTGAGCCGCTGTCAATTCCTCAACGCGATTGGTAATCTTTGTAAATAAACTTATAGCCAAACAAGTGTGAATTAAACTAAGACGATTATTGTAATTTTCTTGACTTTGTCATTTAACTTACGTAAATATGCCAATTGCACATGTACAGCACAATTTAGAAGAGGAGGCCCAAAGAGGCCATAGCCGTGCTGGGGTCGCGGAAAATGTAGTTTTTCAAGATTTGATTATATTAGATTTATCATTACTTTAAACTTTTTAGTGCTTTATTTGTTAAAAACCTTTTTTTGAAACCATTATTAACGGCCGAAGAAATAAGGGCAACCGTAGTCTCCTGTTGTATGATACTTACCTTATTTGATCAAGCTGACCTCCGCGCTGGAGCTGGAACGTATGCTGTCGTTACTATTACAGTATATATGTATCATCTATGGTTACAATGGTAAAACGTATGGCACATTGCAACTGTTCTATAAACACTATATCAAGTTGTTAAGGATAAGCAGCCTAGATTAGTTCGAAGTCATTTAACTTTTTTTTTATGTGAGAAGGTGGCAAGTGAGCTGGCTGTTGCGTGGCTCTATCACAGTAAAATTCAAAAAACTTAACTTTTAAAACTATTCATCGAAATCATGAGTTTCATTTGTTGAATTTTACAATGAGGTAATTTCATTTAACTCCAAATCTCTATGTTACATTGATTTAATTGTGTAATATGTTTTGGGGTCGAAGATTAATAATTGCTTCAAGATTATTAACTTTATCTTTCCTTCAATCTTTGTTTTTGTTGCTTATTCTGATGACATGTTATTTTACTATAAAATAGTGCAAATTGAACTCATGAATGGGAATTGGGACCTAAGTTTTTTATAAATGTCAAATGCTTCTAGTTTCTAATTTAAACGAGTCCATTTTTATTAATGAAAGACAAAGCCGACGTCAAATATCTAGCTCTGTATTATTAATTTATAATTGACTAGCTGCTGCCCGTTATTTGACTGCGTAGAATAGGCTGAAGGTGTAACATTAAGACAGAAAGACAGATATACATAAAATATGTATTTAAATTATAGCCTATGTCTTATTGAGTGAGTTAGTGTTGAGTCTCTTAATGTCTTCACAAATATACCTTGTGAAACTAATAGACATTTGCAACACTGTCCCACAGAGGCAGTAACATATCTCGATAAATATGTTAATATTTCTATTCCAGATTTTAAATTTTGTCATATAGGCCCGAATGATATTATTAAAATATTTAAAAATCTAAATAAAAAGAAAACCGTATAATAATAGTTTAGTGGACCGGTGGTAGATTTTTGTTGATGTTCAATAAGAGCTTAAGTTAGGCCTATATTGAATAAATTCACTTTGACTTTATTCTGATGTATAAGCTATATTATTGTAAAGTTTCATTAAAATCCATTCAGCAGTATTTGCGTATACACACAAACTTTCGCCTTTATAATATTAGTAAGAGTTTCAGGAGTTCTCTGAAGTATCTCCGAAGCCCAAGGTTAAAAACCAATTAAATTAATATGCGGCACATGGCAGCTAAACCGATGCCGATACAAAAAGAAAATTTTAAAATCAAACATAAAAAAATACAAAGGAAATGAGAACCTCCTCCTTTTTAAAGTTGGTTGAAAAATATAATATTGATGTAAATTAAAAAATAATGTACAACATAATGTATAGTTATTTCTTTTTTTAATAGCACGTAAAAGAAAGGTGTGTCTATCAGGAACACTTAAAATATTTCTACCTAAATAAATGGGCAAGTTAATTAACATAAAATAAAACACAAACATTTTTCATATGGCATATAATTGTGCTTCGTCAGTTACAGAATTTCATAATCATAGATCGCTAAGGGTAAAAAATAAACACGTCATGTTTTTTATACAACAGTACATACAAATAACTGGTATAAATTCATGATGAAAATACCTATGTATAGTATATATACGTTGTATATGTATAGTATATATATATACATATATATATGTAGTTATTGAATTTTTCGGCTTTGCTCTACTATAATATGCATGTATACTGCATGTAAGCCTACCGCTAGAATCACTGTCTATTGCTGAAAACTGCATTAAAATCCCTTATTTAGTTAAAAATATCTAAGTGTACAAACATCGGGAGCGACTTTGTTTTATACTATTAAAGATAATACAAATGTAAAATATACCTATGTTATGGCACAAATAAAAATTATGTTGCAATTTTCCCTTCCCTTACTGTAAGTACATTAGGACAACATTCGTATGAAAATTCGATATTCATATTAGAGTTAATTTAAAGTGACATTAAGAATATTTTAAATTCGCCGAATAATATAAACTACAAAATTTACAAAGTATACTTTTAAAGATATCAACCGTTATAAATGGGGTAACTAATTAATAATAATCATTACGGATTATTAACAAAAACCAATATAAGAGAATAATGTGACAAAAAGACACACAATAACTAAGATATTCAATTACTTCTACAAATGAAAAGATTTCTTTCATTCTTCCGTAAATTATTAATCATCATAGCATTTATAACAGGGACCGTAACATTATGTATAAAATATATAAGGCAACATATGTGATTCACAAAATAAAAAGTCTAAACCTTTGCTTAAAAAATGTCAGTGTATTTATATTTTACTACTTCATTGAAGAAATCAACTTTATAAGAAGACTATTTGCATTCATGAACTTAAACTTGAATATTTGTGACCTATTGTTTAGTTATAATATTTAATATCACATTTCATATAGAGCTTAGCTTTAACAAGTGAATAATATAATAAAGTTTGGCAAGAAAAGTAAAACTTTCAATATAATAGTTTCCCTCTGCACTCAATAATGTAAAAAAAATCATGCATGATTGTATACTTAGGGATACTTAGGAAGAGACTTGTTGGTGCAATATCTAAAATATTTTTTATAATATTGTGTAAACTTGAAAGATGTTTGCACCCTAAATGTTGTTGTATAAACATAATTCGAGTGGACACACCATGGACACAAGGGATTCCTAGTGAAACAAAATTTTTACTATAAAAGTACTTGGATGGAATATTTTCAATAATTACAATGAGTCTTCAAGGGTTTTCGAGCGTCAGTCAAGCACCATCGGCAGACCAGAGAAGATGGCGTTATAACTTTGGCACAGGAGTAGCATTAGCGAGCAAAATTCACAGTGTGAATTATATTATGTATAATAATGGGACCTTTAGTGATATGTGACAGACTAATGTAGTGAGGAAGATCGGTAGATGTGGGAATTTGTATACCTACGGTGTGGGGTCGTCCCTTTATCACGTGATGTTAAAATAATTTTTCAAATCTGCCTCCCCCTTGGTTATACTTAGCGAGCTTTAAGACTAACCCTCCCCTAGAGAAAATGAAGTGAATTTATTTTAGTAGTGTATATCATAAAAGGTAAGTATAATCTTAATTTAATTAAGGAAAATTGAAAACAGTTATAAAAATGTCCAGACTATGTTTTGCCGGTCGTCCTGCAAGCGGCGACTTCTGTTATGAGTTATGTTTAAAAAATGCGCGTTAAACGAATACAAAAAATGAATACACGTGATATCTCACTATAACCCCTTGTGATTTGTCTTTGATTAACGGACGACCCCTGACGAGGTGCTTTCTTGGTACGTGATAGATATGGGTCGATTTAAGCCTGGGGCCAGACCACGCTCTCTATCCAGTCGAGGTACTTGGCGATGCGCGTGTAGACGCCTGGAACGGACGAGCCGCAGCCGCGCCCGAATGACGTCACGCCCACGAGCCGGTAATGGCCGTCCTGCGCCGTCAGCCCCTGGAGCGGCCCACCAGAGTCGCCCTGCCCCACAACGCGCACAGTTTTAGTTACGAGCGGTTCACAACTCATTTATTTATTGTGAGCACTAGACAGAATGGAATAGTAATCACAAAACACATAAAAATAAATTAAATAAAAGGATTTTTTTATTTGCTGCAACATAGCGAGGGAATCGATTTACGTTTACCCTTCTCCGAGGCGTGCTCACGCCTAGTATCGAGAGACACCGGTGCGTTCCGTAGGAGATCCCGCGATCCCTCCAAACGTACAGAAGGTGGCCACCGAGGGGGTTTAGACGAACCCCACATAACTCCGTCATGTAAGATGACAGGGTATCTTTTGAAGTTCTCCCCCCCCCCCCCCCCCCCCCCCCCCACAAACAAAAAAGACCCAGTCCGGGACCTGGGTGCATCACCTGGCAGGAGTCCTTGAGCCCCTCCGGGTCGCCGGCGCACAGCTGCTCGTCCGAAAGCCCATCGGGCAGTTTCCGCCACGACGTGTAGAACTCTCCGCACTTCTCCTTCGGCACCACGGTCACGTTCGCCTTAAGCAGCGTGTCACTGCGCACGTTCCCTTGAAAACAAACATGAGAAATTCGATATTGAACTCCTAAATATATGTATACAGGGTGGCTTTTTTGAAGGTGCCCAAATTCACACAGGAGGTTCAGACTCGGTAGTATAATCGTTTATTGAAATAAAACTTTTTGAGATAAGTTGAAATTATTGTAAATAATTAATTACGAGTGATTTTAAATATTTATCATTTTTTTATATAACATTATTTATGTCTAAAATTTAATTAAAAAAATGGATACACTTAGAAAAGTCTCCCTGTATACTGGACTGCACAACTTTGTCTGCGTCAAATCAGTTATTACCGGTTTCAATTGTATTTCCAAAAAAAACTTAAATCCCGATTGCAGTGCCACCTAACCGCGACCAGTGCAGTGTACTGCGTACTACTCACTGATGTTGCTGGTTTTTCCCCAGCCGGTGACTGTCAGCGGTATCTTAGGATCCCTGAGGCTCGTGTACAGGCAAATGGGGTTCAGTGTGCTCGAGAACTCCACCGGTTTAGCCAACCTGAAATGGTGCAACATAAATTGACCAGTGTATAATGTTCACACAACGAATACGGGATTTCACGGTATAATCTATTAAAACTCGATAAATGCATCATTTTTACCCCACTGCCACCACTTTTTACCACTGGAGGGTTATGATTTTCGAGCGTATGTTTCGTACATATGTATAATATGTCTAAAGAGATATAACTAGATTCGTCTCAGATGTACGAATGCATAGGCTATAATTTCATCATGGTGTCCATGTAAAAATAAAATAAAGACAGCCAGTATTTTTAAGGCCCCAAGTGCCTTATTTTCTTTTGTTTAATCATTTATGGATGTTATACAAAATAAAGATTATCGATACCTACACAGCGATATTTTTTATGTGAAAACTTGTCAAGCGAGCAGGCGGTTTACCTGATATGAAGTGATTACCGCCTCCGATGGACATCTGCACCTAAACACCTAAACGTTGACATTCTTTAAAAAAAGTCTGCACCGGTTACCGCACTCGGAACTTCTGCAGGTAAGTAGGGCCGTGGTACTTACTCGGACGAGACTGTCCATTTGTGCAACAGTAAAGACTGCCGCGTTGCCCAGTGTGCAATATAGATTAGATATCAATTTTGATGGCTCCGTGGCGCAGTTGCCAAGGTGCTTCAGCGCCAGGAGTCATGGGTTCGATTCCCACACGGGAAAACTATCTGTGGTACCTACAGACAATCGTTTCAGATGTGGATGTTTCTTCACGTGATATTTATGTATGTCAAACGTCCTTACAACACAGGATGATGTTATCACAGCAACGGACAATGTTTTCGAAAGGAAGGCTACAACAGATCCTCCGTTGTTGGGATTTACCGTTCCAACCCCTTCCACACATAATGCACACACGGAAACGGTTCTTGTTATTAGCGGTACGTAAACGAGAGCTGCGTGAGCGGCCCACCTCATGAGCGCCAGGTCGTGGTACTTGCGCCGCCTGGTGTAGTTCGGGTGCGTTAGGATCTCGGCGATGTCCACGTCAGTCTCGTCGTTTCGCGTGCTGTTGCCCAGCTCCACGATACCCATCCGCACGATCGTCGGCTTGATCCTATGATTAAGTTTTTTTTTTGCTGGGTGAAGGTGGCAAGCCATCTGGCGGTTGACCTGATGTTAAGCGATAACCGCCGCCCACGGACATTTGCAACACCGCAGATGCGTTCCCATCTTCGACCCTACACTTCCACTTACTTACACTATACTACGCCAGTCTTCTGTGAGGTTGTGGTACTCACCCCGTGCAACAGCCGAAGCTCTTTCGGTGCCCTACGGGTATCGCAGTAAAGTAACAGCCTATAGAAGTCCCCCTGCTGGGCAAAGACCTCTGTACAGAGGCTGTTAGGGCATAGTCCATCACACGACCACACGAGGGTTGACAAACTTTACAAACAATAAAGCGTAGTAATGTGACAGCCTATACAAGTCCCCGTGCCGGGCAGAGGCCCCCTCTGTACATATGCTGTTAGGGCATAGTTCAACACGCGAACACACAAGGTATTGGCGGATTTCACAAACAATAAAGTACAGTAAAATAACAGCCTATACAGATCCCCCAGCTGGGCAAAGACCTCTGTACATAGGATATCAGGCCACAATCCACGACGCGACCACACAAGGGATTGGCAGCTTATACAAATCCCCCTGCTGGGCAAAGACCCCCTCTGTACATAGGATGTTACGGCATAGTCCACCACGCGACCTCCCTGCGGATGTGCGGACTTCGTTGGAGAAGGCGTCTTGCGCTCTACTGTCGCTAAGCTGTCAGAGTGCCCTGCCATCATATAACAGTCAAGGTTAAAATTTCTATACTCAATAGAGGTTTGTTTAAAGCTCTTATTGAACGTCATAAAATTACCACCGGATCATTGATTGAGAACTGCATAGAATCTGCGGCCTTATAATATTTTATTTATATAAATATAAATCAATTACATTATATACCTTACCGATTAAATGAAATAATTTTGAAAATTGCTATTAAAATTGTCTGCGATATAAATTAAATAAAATTAAAATTGTGCGACAAAAAGTTATTCGACAGTTTACCTACAAGTTATAAGTCTTTACAATCGTAATATTAGAGGACGGAATCTTATCGTTATTTTCGTCTTAAAAATCCCCGACGTCATTAATTATTTAAGTAAACGCGCCGGGAAGAATACTTAACATAAGCTGACCTTTATATACGTCACAATACACGTAATTACACAGGCATCCGACTGTATAAAGGTCACCTAACTTTTCGCTATCGCTTTTCGTTTTCACGATATCCACAATAACAGGCAATAACTGACCAATAACATATATCATGTTATCGTAAAACTTAAATACGTCTCTGATGTATGCAGTATTTTGTAATCGGATTGTCTTTAAACACGGAAGAGTATCGCGTTCTCTTTCGCGCCGTAGTATAAACCGCTTTCTGTCTTTCTCCCAAATAGCTTTGGTGTATCGTTGCGAAAAAAAAGTTCTTTATTACAGAAGTTATTTCATTAAGCGATAACTCCTATTGCACTCGACGGTACAAGCGTAGAAATCGCCCAGAAAATTTCACTGAGGAGCGTTTAAGTTTGGCGCGGCTATAGTCACATACCGGTCGAGGGTGTCGACGCAGTGAGCGGCCGTCAGGACGTACGTATCGGACACCAGGGTGCCACCGCACTGGAAATTATATCCTTCGGCGTCTTCATAGCCGAGAGCAACCTAAAACAATATCATCGATTAAAATAAACTATTTTAATGTATACAGCGTGTCGTTACCATCGCGACAATAAATGAACACACATATAGGGGATAACTTTTTAAAGTTGTATTAAACATTTAAATTCTTTAAACATCAATATTTACAGAGTTATAAAATTTTCCAAAACAAAGAATATTAGAACACCCTTACCTATAAAAGCGTAACGTAAAGTTCATTTGTAAAGGTCATAAAGCATATGAATGGGTTGAATGAATTTAAAAGAGACAAAACATACTTTTAGAAGGAGAGGCTTGTAATGCGACTCTGTGGCGCGAGTTGTATAGGATGTTACTAATTTTGTTTCTTTTTTACTTATTAGTTTGTTTGAAAAATATTTTTTTTTAATTATGGATTTTGTTTAACGTTAATATATTTTTAATATTATTGGCAAGTAGCGTTAGACGTGTGTTCATTTATTGTCGCGATGGTAACGACACGCTGTATATTTTATATCTTATTGTGTGTAATTTTAACATTCTTCTTTTTCCTGTCCTTCTCCCATTTAAGGTGGAGTCGACACAATAAGGGTTTCTCGAGTCTAGACAAATATTTGTGACTGCTTTATGGCCGCAATTTCGCCTCCGTGGATGTATTAATGGCATTACAAATCCATTTTTTTTAACGAAAAACAAAACCGACTTCAAATATCTCGCTATGTATTCATTTTATAATTGATTTTCAGGAGTTCCCAAAGTATCTCCGGAGCCCAAGATTCAATACCAATGAAATTAATATGGGACCACAAGGGAAACAAAAAAACACAGTGGATTTGAGAACCTCCTCATTTTTTGAAATCGATTCAAAATCAAGACTTAAATATGAAATATCACAGATATCTACATTTGTATCTTCAGAACCCAAAAATATGGAAATATTTAGAACCTTATAATTGTCATTGAAATACGTTAAGTTTTGTCGTAATTTATTCGGTAGAGTTTAAGATAGACAAACAAACAGAAATTTTATAAACGATTTATTAGGCACTTTTTAAAGAGTTGTTTTCAATGCAATTTTGGCATTTATTCTGCAATCACAAACAAACATTTCGACTTTATCTTTACTATTGGTATGGGTGTGTGGATACCCTAAAGATCGCCACAAGAATATACGAGTATGCCGTGTTTGCGCGAATAACATTTCATATCCTACTAATTGAAAGATAATGGATTAACATAAAAAACATTTAGATTATGTTATTTTATTATTCGGGTCTCATGAAACATCGATCACAACTATTAAGCTAGCAAATAACTATGTTAAACAGAAACTCTGTATCTGTAATCGATTATTATTAAATATCGGCACTTTTAATATTATTTATTATTGTTTAATAACTTTTACAGTTAAGTACATAAATTGTTGAAAGTGCAATTAAGAAGACATCGCGCGGAATATTGGAATCAAACTTATTGCAGCGATAATCTATTGACCGTGATAACCTCTTCCAACTATTATTATAACTGTGATCATCGCAAATTAACAACATGGCCATTTGAATGTGTGGAAACGACATTCTTAAAACGTAATAAGCATTTTACTATACATTTTTAGTATACATTTAATCAAGTTTTATTATTATTATTGAATCATGTTTTCTTATGCTCATCATTTCTTATCTCATTTCTTATGCTCAGTTCATTTCTCTTTGTTTGGATAAAAAAAGGCATTTATATTCGATGACTGAATATGCGGAATTACTTAGCACTGGGATTTGGCGCCGTAGCTAAAGGGTTCAATTCAGGCAATTATCTCTGCAAAACGACAGCCCCCTCAACAAATAGAAAAATTTTAGCAATGGTTATTTTGAGGAAACCAAATTCGAACTCATTTGGAAACAATAGTCAAATTATAAAGAAGGATTTATAACTTTATATAATTATATATAACACATAGTGAACTAAAACTTTTGAATACAAAAACCTGTTGATCTTTTAATTAATGCAATTTCCGCTCAACTTCACAATGTATTAACAAATTAGAACGGACTAAAAAACAACAAAAATGGTCTTACCATATGCGGAAACTCTCCCAACGATGCCGCTTCGCCGCCAATAATGTGCAAGTCCAGGGGCGGTATGCTTGCGGCAACTATTTTCTTGCATTCTGCGAAAGGATATATATAATAAGGTCGTTTAGAATGAATAAGACTGGAATTTATTTTAAAAAAATGTGTGTGTATTCATGTATACGAGTTAGAAGTTAAACTTCTTTGACGAAACAAGATAAAAAACTTTTCAAAAATTTTATCTTCCGCCTTATTCTACGTTTGTACAAAAAACGACACACTAAAGGCCCATTTACACGATGCCATTTTCTTGTACATACAAAAGCAATAATTGAATGCAATAAGTTGCACGCAATAATTGACCATCAAGAATTGTAAGCAACAGTTTACACGCAGATATAGTAAAAAAAATTGAATGCGATTATTGTATGCAAGTCTTGACAGGAAATAATTGCAAAGGTCTTTTGTTTACACCAATGCAATTATGTCTAGGCGATTATTGCTTTCAAGTTTTGCCTTGTCTAAACACATGCTTGTATGTGCGTGTACAATTTATTGGCGTGTTGCTTCAAGTATTGCACGTATTTGCGTTGACAAATTTTTCATGCAAGTGTTGAACGTTTTACAAAGGGCTGTTTTTTTAAAAAAATGGCTCAATAATAAGTGTTCAAGTTAGATTATGCTGATTAAATATATTTCATTGAGATTTATTTATTATGATCCATATATTATTATTCATATTTTTATCCAACTTTTTTTACGGCCTTTTCTCAATATTTCTATCCGCAAAAGAACAGCAATGATTAAATACCCTCACTCATTGCACTAATTTTTGCAAAGTAAGAGAGAATGCAATTGAATACAAGAATTGCTTAAGAAATTATTGTGTGTGCTGTTTACACCAAGGAAAGTTTTGAAACAAAACTTGAAGCAAGTCTTGTTCAACAGTCAAGAATGTTATGTGCTGTTTAGACAATGCAACTCATTTATTGCTTCAATTTAATTGTATATAGCAGGCAAGAAACTTGCACCGTGTAAATGGGCCTTAACAATAGAAAAAAGGTATTTAATACATGTAAAGTATTATTATAACGCATTACCTAGTTAAATAAAGTTTATTTAAATATCATAAAATAAATATCGTGAATACAGTTGTCAGTTCTCACGAAAACATACGTAGATGTCTAGCTAACTTCAGGGTTTTTCGTGTGCGCGCATCATAAAAATTTACCTCATGATTTTTCCCTAATGCGCCAAAAGAAACAACTTCCAAAAAAATTTCAAATGGTATGAAAATAGGGCTAGACTATCTTCCCGACGGGTTCTCGTCATGTGGTTAAGCGAAGAAGAAAAATAACTAAATTATCCAAACCTTCGTACAAAATGTGGAAGACAATTGCTTATTTCACGTTGCTTAGACGTGGCAATTAAACACGGCTCAGTAACAGAAACAGAAACTAATTTTTTTTTGGGCTGGATGAGTCACTGTTGGCCTTAGGGGCTTTTACAGTTCCGACAGGCATGAGGTGGCCAGGCGCTCGGGGCGCCTTGCCTGAACCTCGGCGTATTATTATTACGCATTATGGTGACTAAGCTCGAGGGCTCCCGAGGGAGCCTCGGCTCAGGCCGTCACGCTATTATTTTCACCGGTTTGGGAGGCCGCCAAGCTCTTAGGGCGCTTTTGCGGGCGCTCCATGGAGTGATCAGGATTAAGGGTGCCCGAGAGGGGACCTCGGCTTGGGCTGTCACTCAACACTCCGATTCGAGGGTGTAAACACACGTCTTTTCAATGCAATGTCTGATGGGAAAGTGAGTCGAGGTAACCGGTTATGGGTCAGTGAAGTGTGGGGAATTAAAGGCATCTGCTTTGACCAGTGCTTTGAACCGCTTCGGATAATTCATTTCTACTAAATTGTAAACGTTATTAAAAACACAAGAAAATAAAAAGGAAAAATTACAAAACCCAGATTTCTACTTAGTCCCAAAAGATAAAAAAGATCAACAAGAGACGTTTAAAAAATGTTGCGCTTTACATATAAATGTGCCAGACGATATAGCACGTATGGTGTGTAAATGATCGTGACACGAACCGCAGCCTTCTGTTTCGGGGCCGCCCGATTATCGACTGAGCTGTTATAACATTTTTTTCGGCGAAATTTACCGTCATATTCGAATGATATTTTTCATTCCCTGAAAACAGGGATAAAAGGACAATCAAGGTATTAGAATATATTATATACTTTCAAAATGAATGGTCGACTGTTCATATTTCCAAACAGAGTGGCAGTACACAATCACACGTTTCGTTTGAATGGTATAAAAATGATGGCGTAATTAAAGCAATAAGAAAAAAAGGAAGGCAAGTGTTTGCCACTTTGTGAGACAGTTTCTTCGCATGACTCCAAGCGCGTTAACAACATATCTGTACTAAAAAATATTGTTATGAACACACAAAGGAACTAACGCCATCTAGCGTCAACAGTAAAACCACTAAAGAACAAAGACGACATAAAACCCCCTATTCAACACTAGATGGCGTTAGAGGAACTGCTGTGGAACTATAGTCTCGAAAACCGGGTACATTCGCGAACTTTCCGGAATCACGAACATGTTCGTGCGTGTCGTGTACGTTCCAGGAATGATCTTTCTGGATTAGTACGGAACCGGTCTCGGCCCATATAAAAAAGCCGCGGGGAGGCGAGCGAATACAGTTCAGTTTGAGCTACCTTCGAGGCGACTTCGGAGCGAAAACTAGTGATCAAGAGCGATACCAGTGAAACCTACGACTTGGCTACAAAATAGGACATCGTTAGTGCTTACTGTTTGGACCTAGTGCTTTGTGTTGGACCTAGTGCTAGCGAATAAAGTCTTCAAAAGAGTCAGCAGGTCTTTCTCTCCAAATCCTTCGAACCCCGAACACGTAACAATATCAATGATTGCCACAGATCAAATGAAACATCTATGGGAATCTTAGATTTGATAGGTGAGTATTTGTGAAATTTTTACTAACTTATTTATATATTTTATACATGCTAAGTGAAGCGTACCTATAACTGGTAAGAAAGGATTGACCTAACAATTGATAAAAATATTAGGAAAAATTATGACACACTAATGTAATATATTCGCATTGCGATATTTACCTCTGTCTGCAATACTATTCTTTCTGTCGGATTCACCTGTAAAACAAAATGGGCGATTATTTATATATTCAATGAGCAAAAATTTTCTATTTGTTAAGGAATAAAAAAATACCGATAACAGGACAGAAAATGTATACAAAAGAAATTGAAAACTGTCAGATATGATCAAAAATAAGATAGAGCAAAAACCTCAGTCAAAGTAATGTAAAGACATTACTTTGACTAAGGTTTTTGCTTTCAGATCATAGGCTATTAAAGTTTCATCGAACGCAGAAGTTTGGGCTAGCAAGCACCCACAAGCTTGAAACGGCCTATAAATTAAGAAGGGTCCCGCATGTACTCATGCGTACGTTATGTTAAACTGGAGATATATAGGGCCGCGGATGTGCTCATGCGTGCGTTTCACTATAGTATGTCATCTAAGGTCCATCGAGGTTGCGGTTCAGACCGGGACCCCAATGGCCGTCGACTGTGTTTTTATCTAATCGGTGGCTGGGGACGGTGAGAACCGCCCAGGAACGCGGGTGTACGCGTTGTGTTTGTCTCGCCGTGCTACACTAACTGTGGGTGTAGTGTTATCCAGGAAGACCCCCGACGATGGGTCCGACGTGCCCCTTCCTCGACCAGGTCGATGAGGAGGTTTCGCGGGTGACGCCTGTTGACGATTGCGTTTGTGTCGGTTTGGTAATTTGCTGCGCTTACCACCAGAGGGTTGGGCTGATGTTCGGCTCTATCGCGAATCGTCGAGTCTGCAATCGCTATCCAGGTCGACGTTGCGTTGATACCGCTGCGCACCGGTTGCACGGCGGATAAACTTATTTTGTACTATTTACAATTTGTACAAGCGAGTAGGGTGCGTGTGGGCGAAAATCATGCATGCGTAGGACATAATAGGTAGTACGCAGCTCTTTTATAATAATAATTTGTGCCTTAAAGGCATCTTACTTTTATTGTTAGTTAAATTGAGTAGCCGTCCGGGGCCGAACGCCGCTCTATTACGAAGGTTATTAATGTGCGTAGTAAATGACATACGCGAGTCGGAAGTGAGACCTAAGTATTTGACCTTTTTCTCCCAGGGGAGCGGTTGGCCATAAAGGGATATTTGCCCCAAATTTCTGCATTGACGAGGGCCTTTATAAAGATGTGACGGGTAAGTACTTCGTGTAAAGTGAATCGGCACACTCTTTTCGGGATTTACTTTTATTCTCTATTTGCGGAACCAATCGCCGAGGTGGTCGGCGGCGCTTTGGAGACGAGTAATGAGTTAATTAAGATTTTTATCTATGTAAAAGCGGCGCTCTTTTACATCTCACTCCGCGAAAAGCGCGTGAATGACGTGGGGGTCTTTGGGTATGTCGCACGTGTAGAGCGTTAAGAACAAGGGTGAGCGGCAGGAGCCTTGTGGAACGCTAGCCGTGAGGCGACGGCTTGTGGAGAGGGTAGCCTCAATTCGATATCGAAAAGAGCGGTTCTACAGGAAGACCCGGATGGTGTGTACGAGCCTATCTGGCACTTTGAGTGTGAACAGCTTGTAAAGCAAGCCGTTGTGCCAGATCTTGTCGAATGCCTTTGCGACATCAAAGAGAAGAGCCCCGGTGCTAATATGTTCCGGATGCTTTAAGCCTTTTAGTATGTGTTCCGTTAGGTGGTATAATTGGTCGGGACAAGAATGTCTACTTGGAAAGCCGAATTGTTTCGCCGGCAGAAGGCCGTTAGAAAATACGTGCTCTTTGAGCCTGTTTAATAATAGCCGCTCGTAGAGCTGCTCCAGGCAACTGAGGAGGCTGATGGGACAATAGCTTGAGGGCTGATTAGCGGGTTTGCGAATGTTCGGAAAGGAGCAACTGGAGAGTAGTGTGTTGTAGATGGTCGCCAGTAAACAGATAAGCGGCCCCGGGAGAGCTTCAAGAATTTATTACTAATATTATCTGGGGCCCGGAGCGGATTTGGGTTTTAAATTTTTAATAATATCTTGGACCTCTTCGGGGGTCACTGAATTTAAAGGATCGTTTTCCGGTGGAAGCGCAGCCCTAGACTCGAATACGCGGTCCACCTCCTTAGGTGGGCTGTATCGGTGTGTTCGCGCGATGGCGTACATTGCTGCTCTAGGTTTTCCGCAAGGCATTCGGCGTTTTCGGAGTCATCTACGGCTACTGAAGCGCTAGCCGGTAGATTTGCTGTGTAACCAGACTCAACAAGATACGCTATGAACACATTCGCGGTAATCTGGGAGTTCTTGACATAGCCGACAAGCTACAAGAAAGCAGGTTACTGTTTAGCCATATTAAACGGAAATCTACAGAGTACAAAGGAAATGTATTGACCAATCCGGGCTCTAGACCCAGAGGGTGACCCAAAACCAGGTGGACAGATGTGGTCAGAAAAGATCCAAGTTCCTGCAACATTACCAAAGATGATGCGTTGGATAGAGCAAAGTGGAAGTGCAAAATGGCTTGCTATCTTATCTTTTACCAAATTAGAGTTATCAATCTCAATTAATAATTGTAAATTTACCTCTGAATATTTTTGATTGTTGCCAACAAATACAAAATAATAAATGAGTAGGAAAAATATTCATTTACAAAATATACTGCAAAATGAAAAATTTGAAAAGGTTTTGGCAAATGTTCAGCAAATTTCAAAGCAGAGCTCCCACTTTAGCCCTTATGGTCAGTTTTTTAAACCACCCAGAAATAGGTGTCCACCATAGTTGACGAAGTGTTATTAAATTTCACATGTTGACAACAACATAATGGTGGATTTCTTCAGTGAAAATAACAAGATTTCATTTTTATTTTTCTCAAAAACTATAATCAACCAGAGAATTCTGCTTTTTGATTAATTCATTTGTGATTTTGCACTATTGCTTAAATTTTTTTAATTGCAAAATCACCTTCGAAATTTGCTGAATATTAACCAAGGTTTCATTTCTCTAGATTTTGATCTATAAGAATAAGAATTTGAAGAAGAATTACCGTAACAAGAAATCGCAAGTGACACTGAAATCTTATGTTAAATTGGAGTTGCAAATTAGATTTCAAAGCAGTTAGAAATAAGCGTAACACATACCTATATTTGTTTCATACTAATTAAATCATATTTTGTTATCTCACATTTTTATAAGAATTATCTCAGGTTAAAAGTCATACCATATTTATCAATGGGCTTTTGTGGACAGCACACAATTTCTGTCACACCTTTAAATCCACATCTTTTAAACTTATGATAGTTTTTAGCTCTGATTTCACTGAAAAAAAAAAAAAAAAAAAAAAAACAACCATATCAAATCAAAATCTTAACCAATTAAAACCCTAATATGTAATGAAATTATTAATTTTACATTTAATTCATAAACATATACATACTCACTTTATTGCTGTTTCACAGTCTGTAATCAGAACACACATCCCATCTGAGTCATTATCATTTGGAACACATTTATCACCAACTGAAATTGGTACAATTCACATACATTCAATAATTAATAGAAAATTATTAGTTCAACTATTTGTATTTTAACACTGATACTCACCGTCACCGACTGCAAAAGTAATATAAAATAATGAGCTAAATAACAAAAATAATTTTACAATCATTATTCTTGATTTGCTATAACTTGGTGTGATCAAAAAGTTGGGCTTTCCTTAGAATTAAGCTAATAACTTCAACTCGTCTTCGCACATTGAAGTAGAACCGGTTTGAATTTATGTGTTGTGTTAGCATTGATACTTCCTCTAAAAAAATATCACGTAATGACTGAAAACATACTTTCTGGTTTTTCCATAACAGATATAATTGGGTTTCTAAATTAGAGCAAAACGCTATGGTGGCAGGAAAACATGTCGTACTATATAAGTTTTTAATAATAATCATTTATGAATGCAACTAGCCATCAAATCAAAGCAATAGGTAAATTCATATTCATAATTAAATTGACTAAAATTAGTAACTGACAGATTGGCACAGATTATTTAAGCGATAAAAATTATTTATTTTGTTTTTTTTCTTGTTTCGCGGGTTTGACGGATCCGTCGGAACAGGTCCACAGCACACATCAAGGAGCCAGGTAAACCCTGATTTCAAAAGACCGAATTGGTTGACGATGATTCGATGACGCCGTGCGTGCGCTCCTTGCTCCTCCGCGACATCTATTAATCAGGCTTATCCGGGAAGTACCTGAAATAAAAAAACGTATGCCATTACCAAGTTTTAAATATTTGAATGTACTGACTATGTCCCGGATTCGAATTTGAAAATAAATATCGCTTATGATACGATTTCGATATTGAATATTTATATCGATATATTGGATCAAATCAAAATATGATATCGGCTAAAATGATATAGACATAATAATAAAATATCGATATATCGAAATTTTTTTGCCATCAATAAGTCTGTGCATCAATACTTCACTGTTATTGACACTTAACGGGCGTCTTAGTTTTTCAGTTTATATGTCTTATCTTGGAAGACGTCTCCGCTGAAATTAAATTAAATTTTTAATATATTTTATTTTGAGAAAACTTACCGTTATTGAGTGCTTATTTTAAAAGAATATTATAATATATATATGGAGCCAATTACAAGTTTCCACCTTTAGTACATAATTATGTTTTAAGCCAAGCAAGTTATGGAAAAATTAAAAAAAAAATAAAAAAAACGTACAAAAATCATATTCAGAACTATATAATTAATTACCTATTTTTGGAATTAAATTTGAATATTGCTCAGTTAAAGTTTCTTCAGCAACAATTACAATTTTAGCAGCCCTAATCATAAAATAATTGCATCTGTAATTCGTATGAGCTCTGGGTATGTAAATGCGTTTTCTCGTGTTTGTTATAGGTAAATTTATAGTGAAGTCAGATAATAGTTCTTGGAAGTTAACTGAACCGTTGCAGAGTTTCAGACAAAAACATACGTCACTAATGTTACTCCGATCAGACATATTAAGAAAATGGTACCAATAACACTTATCATCTTCCCGTGAATTATTACGCACACTATAATCAAAGTATCTTATAATTTTTTTCTGGATAACCTCAATACGAGACTTGTAAATCTCATATTGTTTGTTCCAGACCTGCGAGTCATATTCGAGTATAGTTCGTACAAATGAGTAGTAAAGGATTTTTATTCTTTTGAGATTACTGAAAAGAGAATAATAAAAACTATTACTTTATAGGCTCTCAATCTAGTAAATGATATGTGCTTGTCAAAAATGAGCTTTGAATCATAAATTACTCCTAGATCGTATGGCTCATATACTAGATCTAGCAATCGAAGTTCCCATTAAGTTGTCCGTTATTCTCATATATCCTTGTAAACGAAATAAAGAAGCATTTAGAGATATTCAGATCTATTTTTTTTTGTTACAACATGTTACAATAGTCTTTGTAGTTCTGATTGAAGCAATAATTTGTCTTCATTACTAGTAATGACTTTAAGTACTTTCATATCATCAGCATTCAGTACTTTGGAGTGCATAAAACACATGTATATCGTAACAAGTATAGTAAATAGTAGAGGTCCTAAGAAGTCCTTGTTAGGACCTCTCAGGAGTACCTCAAGTGTCCACTTGATGTACTCCTGAAGAAATGGGTAACCATGCCCACATATGTCCATTCATTACAACTGCTTGCGATCTGTTGTCGGTCTCAATGTATTCCTGCTATTGCCAATTTATTCAAAAATATTTGATGATCTATTCAGTTGACACATTTACTGTAATCCGTATAAATGCAATCTACTTGGAATCCACTGTCCATACCCTCAGTTAAATAATTATTTGAAAGTAGTAAATTTGTAACAGTCGATCTGTTTTTAGAAAACCATATTGAAAATCACTTAATAAGGGGGAAACAGAGCTGTAAAGCTTTTTATGTATTATCTTTTCCAATGATTTAGCGAACAGACATAACTTTTAAATAGTCTAGTGAATAATTTTTGAATAGTCTATAATTATCTATTTTTGTAGTGTTCCCTTTTTAACCGATTTCAAAAAAGGAGGAGGTTTCTCAATTCGACCGTATATATTTTTTATTTTTTTATGTGTGTTCGGGGATAACTTCGTCATTTATGAACGATTTTGATGATTCTTTTTTTGTTGGAAAGGAGATATCCCAACGGTGGTACCATGCTAAGGACAGATCTGATGATGGAATCCCAGAGAAATTGAGGGCAATCTTCAAATGTCATATAGGTGTTGACTATGTTTTAGTTTCCTGTTTGAAGTCGGTTTTTTTTGTACAACATTATTTATTTTCAGGTGTGATGTATGCCTGTTTCCAAATTTTGGGACAAATACGTTCGGATATTCAACGGCGAAATAGGACTAAAAGAGACTCTGAAAGTTCGGCAGCGTAACTAACTATGAAGTGAGGCGGTATTATATCAGGCCCACCTAATTTATTAAGATCTAAAGTAAGTCATTACTATTATCTACTTTGTAACCCACAAAGTTCGTCTTTATTTGGGTATGTGGTATGACGATAATGAACTGAATGAGGGAATGCGTATATGCATCAGTAATGGTGTGAGAAATAAATTGAGAATTATTTTCTGTTGAAGAAAAAGATGAATGAAAGTATTTGGCGAATAAATCACTCATTTGTTGGCCGTTCTCAGCTATAGAAATGAAATAGCTGAGAACGGCTCGAACGGAGTTTCAAGATGTTTCATCGACATATCCGGCTCCAAAATATTGAATCTTATAAATATAATCAAATCATGAAAATCTAATCTGTTTTGGAGTGTATGTACATGCGTGATGTCATGTTGTGTGATTGGTACACAGTGCATATTATATGTGATAGCAGATTTCCGTTGCCTGTCTACGAAACTCGTCAACAGATTGATCGTTGATACTAAATTATATTAAAAATAATTTTAATTAATAATTTGTACCCTTTTATTTAAAATTAAAAAAAATACTTGTGTATATTTTGTTGTTTTGGTTACTTTTTACGAAAGTTTTATAAACTTTACTTGATGTAATAATATTTTACCTGTGAAGGGGCCAGATCTGTTTAGAAAAGTATTTTACATCTGTGGTTAGTTCTTCCACAACGGTCCGTGCCGTCAGTCGTACGCGTGTTGGTTGTACATTGAGAAGTGCTAGTGCTTAAAACTTAACAAGGTTTACCACACCAATATGAAGTTAAAAAATATTTACCAATTGTTTGTACACGAAGAATATAGGTGTTCAAAAATTAAGTGAAACATTAAACGATGTAAAAGTATTAATGACGGTGAACAATTTGATAAATAGTTATGCTGATTGTGATGAACGAGACATAAACAAGGACATCATTGTGTAGTATAAAATTGTGATACAATTTAAAATGACCTCCCTCGGATCAACGAATGCTCGGCTCGTGCATTCGGGAATGAGTAGTCAGGTAGGTCTTGCGAGTTCTGAGTTCGCCATGACTGCAGCTGTGTCGCCTCAAAACTTCGTTGTGCATGCGTCAGCGCTTGGCACTACAAGTTGTGGTGATTCTTCTTCAGAATCCCATTCGCCGGAAATGCCGTCCGCTAAGGCCAGTGACCGGGAATCTCGCATAATTGCTGAAAAACACCGTAGAAGTCAGTACAAAGCAGAAATCGATCTGATAATGTCTCTTCTGTCTGATATCATACCTACCCAAAGAAAAGTAGATAAAACCAGCGTTCTGAGACTAGCAGCTGATAAATTACGGAATGAACATGTTTTTGGAGATACTATAAAATGTCGTCATATAGAAACCTGGTCATCGGCTTTCATGAAGTATTTTGATCTCTTTGGAGGCTTCATGTTTGGCGTCACATGCCGTGGGCGGATTTTCATAGTCTCGCCTAACGTCCAGGAGAAGTTGGGTTATTGCCATGTAGATCTCTTAGGTCAGGATATTTATAAATATGTACACAATGAGGACAAGGAGATACTCAAATTTCATATTTATCCCCCTGAATTGCAAACAGGGTTTGATGAAAATTTATTCAAACAACATCATAATTTTCATATTCGCTTAATGAGAGCAGGAGCTAAATCTGATCCACCTAGGTATGAGCGTTGTCATATTAATGGTATGCACAGAAGATCCGATAGAGCCACTGCTAATGGTGTACAGGATGAACAAATAATTAGGAGGCAAAGGGTGAGACACAACCGTACATTTTCCTCAAGTGGAAATGACTTTGTATTTATTGGAATGGTTCATGTGGTTTCTAATCCCATGTCAGCACGATTAAAATCGCCAACAGCATATTCTGAATATTGGACGAGGCACTTGATTGATGGTCGCATAGTACAATGTGATCAAAGTATTTCACTAGCTGTAGGTTACATGACAGAAGAAGTTACGGGCACCTCGGCATTTGTTTTCATGCATAAAGAAGATGTTCGCTGGGTTATATGTGTACTCAGGCAAATGTATGACCAAAGTAGAGAATTTGGCGAGTCATATTACAGGCTTATGTCCCGCTCAGGGCACTTCATATATATGAGAACACGTGGTTTTCTTGAAATTGACAAAGAAACCAAAAATGTACAAAGTTTTGTTTGTGTTAATAGTGTAATTGGAGAGGAGTATGGAATAAGGATGATGGATGAAATGAAAAGAAAATATTCTGTGATTGTTGATATGGAAAAACATAATGAAAGATCTGCATGTATTGATGAAGCACCAGTTGAACATCCAAAACGCTTAGAGAAAATTGTGATGCATCTAGTCGAGCCACCAGTAAGTGAAAGTATTGATGAACTAAAACTGGTTGCACCATCAAAGGAAAACATTATAT